TTGATTTACAATCTCTAAGCGTTCAAAAATTATGACCATATAAAATTTGTAACCTCCACAAATTGAGGGGGGTTTAAACTTTATATGGTCATAATTTATAAACGCTGAGAGATAATGCGATAAAACTTAAAAATTATCAATGAATATAAACTTAGTTAAGAATAGCAAAAAAAGTTATTTTACCAATTTGATGCTCTCAGATTTAAATCAGGGGGATAAAATTTTATGGCTTTTTTGCTCCCAGTCTCTAATCATAGCAATATTTTGCAAAGCCTCTTTATTTGACATAAGTATAAACATACAAATGTTTGGAGTTTGCACCTATTCTGTTAGCTATCTCTAACACCAAAAATCTCTGAATCCCTACTCTAGGCTTTTTTTTTTTTTTTTTTTTACATGAAGCAAGCTAAACTTCCAAGTTAAATGCTCTTCTGCACTGCTCTGTGATGCAACCATTAGTTCTTCTTGGAGCACCTAAAATAACCACAGAAAAAATGTGTATACATATTTTTGAATCACATTGATGCGTTTTGATCTAGTTTTGTTTACACAAAAGAACGAAAGTCCTTTACCCAATCTTTTAAGGAAACCAGGACTTGGATTTGTTTGATCTAAAGCTCCAGTAATACTATTTTTAATAAAGACATCATTTGATACCGAAATGACGAAAAAATCATAAAATTTGTTGTGTAACTGAGATAAAGCTCAAAGATCAACAAAAAATCCTTTTATCATAGCCAAAGTGTTAATTTATCTATCTCAATCAGTGAAAGATAGGTACAAATTATTTCTTAAATTATTAAGCACAGTTTTTTTTTAATTCAGGAACACATTAAAAAAATATTGTTGAACAAATAAAATTGTAAATTTATAATATATATATAATTTATTTAAAATAAATTATATATAAATATGTATGTCTATATATATATATATATATATATATATATATATATATATATATATATAATATATATATATATGTATATATGTATATATGTATATATATATATATTATTTATTTATTTATTTATTTCAAATTATTTACCTCAAGGACCAAGGGGGCCACTACAGTCAAGGAGGCTACTCATTTTTTTTTTTTTTTTTTTTTTTTTTTTTTTTTTTTTTTTTTTTTTTTTTTTTTTTTTTTGTTGTTGTTGTTGTAAATTGTGGTACAACCCTCTCTCAACTCTTTAACTCCGAAACACGAAGGCTGCTGCGCGAAGAAATTAAGTTGAGCTCGGTACTTCCAGGGGCATGGTGGGAGTCGCACTCCGAACCTCTCGCTTACAAAGCAAGCGCTCTTACCACTACACCACTACCGCATGAAAATATATATATATATATATATATATATATATATATATATATATATATATATATATATATATATATATATATATATATATATATATATATATATATATATATATATATATATTACAATAACCTTAATGATTTGTTGTTTTCACAGCTTTTAACTAAAAAATTAAAAAGCATTTTATTGAATGCATGCGTAACCCTTCTGACAAATCAGACTATAACTGATATATAAACATCTGTGACCATAGTGGGTTATGGGACAGGAAATAGGCATTATGAAAGAATTAAGATTGCCGAGACAATTTTAAACTCAGAGGTCAATACTCTAGCATTCAATGTAACTTCTTTAAATGACACGCATAATAATGAAATAACCAAGACAGCAAAATCTGCTTTAACAGCTAGCGTTGCAACTCTTCCTGGTGGTCATGCAAATTGCTATGTTCAATGTATTCTTAACACCAATGAAGACATTTCAGCAAAATATGCAATATTTAATTGTGTTAGTGCTACAGAGCCATAGCAAAATATATATGGTAGCATTCTCTGCACTCTAACAGACCATGCTTGACTAAATCATGCTGCAATAATCAAACTGAATGGTGTTTTGGACTATCAGTTGCTGGAGCTGCACATCTCTACTCAATTGTTGGAATTGCTACTGAGGCATGAAAAGAATTTTAAAAGTTTAACTTGTCTATTGCAAGTACAACACTTGTACAAGATTGTTGAGTAGCAAACCTTTTATACAGCATTTCAATATTAAGGTAAACTTTAGATTAGATTCATAGATTTCTTCAATAGATTTCTTTCAATTTATTACAATTTAAAACTATTCTTATACTTTCATCGAGGAAAAAATATATATATGCATTAAATGCTACATTTTTTCGATATATATTTTCATGCGCAAAAAAAAGGCGAACCGTCTGGCTTTAAGTTTTTCCTAAATGCTCATAAACTGTCCTGTATGAATTTCCTCATTACATTGGAAAAAGACTGCATATTGTTTTTCATGGAGCAGTGATAGGGGTGGGGGGGTTAGGTTTTGTTTCTGTAGAAAAATGAACTAATTGGCTACTCAAATAAGTCCTGCAATAATCAAATTTATTTCTGGACTGCTATGTTAGGCATTAAATATTTCAACCAATATTTAAACTCTTATAACTTTTTTCTATCTTTCAACTCAGTGGCTCATTTTTTCTAGAAGTGTTTTCTGGGTAGTTCTGTGTTAAAAATACTGGTTTTTGTTAAGTTGTACCATATTAGAAAAAATTTATGGCCTCCTCAACTTCAAAAAAAAATTGAAAAATGCTAAAAAAGGCCAAAATGAAGTTAACTGTAGTAGTTTTCTATTCATCAACAAGTCCTTACAGTTTAGTTTTCTGATTAGCTATTATTATCTGCAAAAATTGGCAAAAAAATAAGCCGCTTGTTGCAGTTTAGAACTGAAATATATCTAAAAATTTATTTTCCATTTGCCAAAAAAGTCCTATTTTCAGCCATTTTAAAATGCTTGTAATTTTTTCTAACATTTTGTTTCTTAAAAAAATGAAAGATATGGTTGACTGCCCCCATGCTGATCTGAATTTTAACATGAGTAGGGACACAAAAAAAGGGGCAATAACTAACTAAAACTCTGTAATATTGGCAAATAATGATACTTTAAACATAATTTACACAATTAAGGAGTGTTATATCTAAAAGTCAAAGACCTTTGTTGTTTTACATAATTAATGTTGAACATTTTTTTATGACTTTCATAATATATCAAAGGGATATTCATAATACATCAGGGGGCTTAAAAATTATAATAACTTTTATAATAAAAATAAATAATGATTAATAAAGGAAAAAGTTGAAGTTTGTTAGAAACCACTTAAATTATTAGGTTTGGTTTTTACTTTTTTCGAATCAACATTTTGAAGTCCAAATTTAGGCATTTTTAATCTATATTTTTTATCTAAGGCTGCTGGTTGTCTATCTCAAAATTGTTGTGGACTTTGTCAAACATCCTGAGAGGGAACCAAATTTCTCACAACTCAGTCTGATGTATTTGGATGCTTTCTATTAGAAGGTATCACACTAAAATAACTACATAATATAGATAGCAGCATGTTAGAAAACCTCTTTTTACGTATTGAGTTCTTGTCTAAACCATTAACATTCATGAGTTGTCAGTTGTCACGTTATTTTACTAGTTCTTTGGAAATAAATCATTAAGTGAAATGAAGTTGCAAACTGCAGTGCACCCTTCATAATATATGGGCAGAGAGAACTCTTGTCAAATTGAATTCTTTGATCAAGCATGCATCTTATGCAGAGATTTTATTTAACAGTGTCACAAAAGATAAGACTGACCACTCTATTGATTGGCTTTTACTAACTCAATTTTTCATTAAAAAGGGGGATTAAGGCAAGACAAACTTGAAAAGAAAGGCAACCAAAAAATATCAAGGGTTTAATTGATTGCATAAATGAAAAAAGGGCAGCAAAAGAATGTCTTAAGTAGATTAATTACTTTACTAGAAGCTTGCTGGAAAACCAAATAACTAGAGAATGATGTGGAGGATACAAAATTGAATTGGAATTTTTTTTGACAGACAATTTTAGAAAAGTTGATTTTTTGCTAATCTGTATGTTTTTATTTTTCTTTATCAATTTCCCCCACTCTGCAAAAGAGCCATATATTTTTTTCTCCGATGATAAAGTATGCGTGAGGTAACATAAATGTTAATAATTTGTTTGGAAACTTTAATAAAAAAGTAAAAAATTATATGACGTTTATATCAACTTTTATATTTTTGTACCATAGCAGAGTTTTAATAATATAGAATCTTAATGACAAAAAGATTTTAATATTTATTTTAAAAAAGGTAGGCATTGTTATAATATATATTTAATAAAATAAATATTATTTAAATTAATGTAATATATATTGTATATATCTAATAAAATTTAAAAAAGCAACGATACTAATTTATTTTATATTATTTTACAAATATATTTTGAGATTTAGTGAAAAATAATACAAATATTAGTGATTTTCTGATTGTGGAAAATTTTTTTTTTGATGTTTCAAAAAAAAATCCTCCAATGACATCATTTTTTATACCAAAACTCTAAACAATTAAACATGCTTGTATTTGATATTTATCCCATATATCAAAAAATATTAAACAGTCATTATCTTTTTTTTTAAGGCTATTTTTATTTTTTGTTTAAATTATCAGATGTATTTGTTTTGTTTTGTTTTTTTTGTTTATTTTTTTTGTTGTTGTTATTGTTGTTTGTTTGTTTGTTTTTTGCTGTTAACAAAATTAATAGTATTAAAGATTTATTTATATAGGATAACTCAAATATTGATGAAGCATTTTGGAGAATAGCTAAGAATTTAAAAGATCGCTACGAAAATGAAAGCAATACACTAAGGGGTGCTCAGACAAGACAAGATGTTTTTATAAACTCAAAAAGTGTTGGAAATTGGTGTTGTTAAAGAAATATGGCGTGACAAGAAATATCAGAAAATACCTTTACACTTCTCAAATTATTTTAGCACGTTCTACAACATATAACAACTTTTGCAACATAAATATTGGTTAATCCAAATTTTAGGATTGGGCACGACTCGTTTGAATTAAAATGATATAAATTGTTATCCTTTTGGTTGTTTTTTTTTATTTTATTTTATTTTGATAAAAAGGTTTTATAAGAATTTAAGTGTACTTTAGTTGGCGACTGGCTTTTAATATCTTTTTGTTATTTTTATTTAACTGTAAACAAGACATTTTTGTTTTTTATTTATTTAAATTGTACTTTTTACAAATTATTTATGAAAAAAAAATATTTTGTTAAATGTTATGCTTAAAATTCTTTCTTTAAAATTCTTTATCTATATAATGACTGTAAATTTCACTGTAGAAAAAAAAAAATAGATAAATTATAGGATCGTTATACAAAAGCTGTTCAGTTGCTTTTGAATAACGATCTTTTTTTTTTTAACAATTCAGTTTTTTTTTTAAATTGAAAGTATTAATAGCGTAACACGCAGTTGATATGTTTTTTAAACACCAAGCAATTAAAAAATAGTAAATTTACATAAAGATTACTAAATAATATGGTTTAAATGGTTGAATCAGAGTTTGATATTACTAAATACAATGTCAGATCAAATATTGTGTTAATTTAAAAAAATGTGTGAAAAATATTTGGGCTTAAGTTTTTTGAATATAGCTTCATTTTAGAAACATCTAGAAAAAAAAATCTTCCAAAAATTTTAAAAAAAAGTAGGAGTTTTTATCTTAGGTTAGGTTTGACCCTTAATATGGTACAATTTTCTATCTTTAAAGGTAAATAATTATATCTTTATGGTAGAAAATTTTATGACAAACTATTGATTTTGCTGAGCGCTTGTTTTCTACTAAATTTTGCTATGAAATATCCGTTAAACATTGAGCAATACATCCTGTGATTGTTAACCACAGAGTGGCCAATTCGTCATTATGGGCTAAGTCGCAAATTTTGTCGCAATTTAGGTACTTAATTTGTAGTCAACTAAGTAACTTATTTCTGAAATTAGTTAGGATTTAGTAACGCTAACAAAAACACATATTTATACTTTCAAGTGATATAATATGTATACTATATGCCTAACTTCAATCCGAAAATTGAAGCTGCTATTGTATGACGCAATGTTGTGGAAGCCATTTCTAGTTAAGGCAAAAACTTAACTAAATGATATTTTAAAATTTTCAACTTTGAAATTGTGAAATTTTTTGTAACAAGGTCTTGTTACAAAGGTCTTCTTGGAGCACCTAAAAACTAGAGATGGGCCGATTCCAAAAAATACCAATTCTCAATTGTGATTCCGATTCTTTTGTGATTTTTATTATTTTAATTAAACTGACAGTGCATTTAATATTAACGGATTATTAATTTAATACTTACACAAGCTTAAAGAGTAAAAACATTGAAATCAGTTTTATTAGTTCAGGTGAAACAGTCACCGGGGCTCAAGGAAGCACGCCCTCTCCACACTTTTTTATCGAAAATTTTTTTATTTTATTTTAAAAATTGACCTACACTGTTACGGAAAAAGTAGACGGTTGTAGATGAGTGATACTATATCAACACCTTTTAGGTGTTGATGCAAAAAAAGGTGTTCATCAGGCGCGGATACAGGGAGGGGGGTAATGCATTACCCCTAACCCCCCACCAACTTTACTCCCCCACCAGACTTTCAATTTTTATTTTTTTAATTTTTTTTTACTTGATCGAGTGAGTTGTGATGGTTTCAATCAAAACTTCATAAAACTTAATCAAATTGGCTGCCGTTTTGCACGTGAGCTAAGTTTCGGTATTGTGTTGAATCGCCTTGTTTTAAAATCGCCTGTATTTAGTATCTTAATATACTATGGAAAACGTATCTGCAGTCGTATGTTTGTTTGTATGTATTTAGGTGCTCCCAGAAGTCCTTACGGTCTTATCATAGAGCACCGAGGGAGAGCATTTAACAGGAAGTTCACGCCTCCTTCAGTACCAATGTCGCTTGTTGGGCTAGAGCTGGCGTCGAACCTCGGACCTCTGGATTCTGAGCCAGAACTCTAACCACTGCGCCACGGCTGTAGACCTATTGCTACGGTCACTCAAGTCTCTAAAGCCAAAAAGTCAGAATGGGACATAGGGATGATTTTTTAGGGCAGTAAAAATGGATGATGGACTCGGTCAATGAGCAAACTACACAGATTGACCGACTCAGAAAAAATTTCACTACTGATATCTCATGCAATGCCAAGCAGCTAATTTGAATGGCCTTTTCACCAAAGAAGTAAGCAAAAGGTATTTTTATCATATTTCTGTTGGAAATGGTTGCTTCAAGTACTCGTTTAAGCTGCAAGGTGTTTGTTGTGAACCCTGCTGCCTCTTTGCAGGAAATACTGTTTCAAATGATCGTGGAAAATTACAAAAAATTAGCAATCTGGTGAACAAAGCATTTACTAACTATAATAAAATTCATTCAAAGTTACACGGTCATGTCACCTGGGAATATCACAAAACGGCACAACAACGAGCTGAACAATTCTTATGCATTTCAAAATCAATTTTTTTTTTTTTTTTTTTTTTTATATATAAGTTGATTTAGGTGCCCCAAGAAGTCCTTACGGTCTTATCACAGAGCACCGCGGAAGAGCATTTAATAGGAAGTTCACGCCTCTTTCCCAACCGATGTCGCAAAACTTGCTCAGAGGTGGGGTTTGAACCAGGGATCTTACGTTTCTGAGGCAAGTGCGCTACCACTGCGCCACGGCTGCTTGTTTTTTAATTAATTGACTTGATTCACGGCTGCTTGTTTTAAACGGCTGCTTGTTTTAAATTAATTGGGCTGCTTGTTTTAAATTAATTGACAAGCAGCCACGGCTGCTTGTTTTAAATTAATTGACTTGATTCAAATTAATAAACTTGTAAACTGGTATTTATTAATTTGTAATCAATTGATATTAATAAACCTATTTTATAATAATTTATATGCCTGTCTTACATAAACTTTTAGGAGGGGGATACTCCATCCAACACCCTTTCCTCAGTAAACCTCCAAGCATTACCCCCCACCCCTGAATCCTGGATCCGCCGCTGTTGTTCATGATATATTAACACCCTAATAGGTGTTGCGGTTAAAAGGTGTTCATGTTACATTAAGGTGGTAGATGCGGTTAAAAAAAAAAAGGTGTTCATGTTACATTAAGGTGGTAGATGCGGTTAAAAGGTGTTCATGTTACATTAAGGTGGTAGATTCAAGCTATTATTTTTAAAAAGCACTGTAGAAAGTTTTCTATTATTTAAATAATTTTTTTGTATTGAAAAAACTATAAAATAAATTTAAAATAATTTTAAAAATTAGAATGACATTAATAATTCGGGTAAAAAGGCAAAAAAGGACCCTAAATGGTACAAAGATAACTCTGTGTTGGATAGTCCGATTGCTATCAGATTGCAGGTAGCATTCATACATGGGTATTTTTCTTAAAGTGTATGAATTTTATGATAAAAAAGTAGACCTAACTATCAATAACTGGCTTTGCATTTGCAGTTTAATTCTGATTTTGGTACATTTTGTTGACACTAGTGTATTAAACATATTGTGAAAAATTCAAGTCAATTGGGCTAGTAAAACTTGAGATACCTTCGTAGCAAGTATGAAAATGTAGATTCAGAGAAAACGATCGTTTAAAATTTTGTATAAAATTACAAGTAACTCAGCGTTGAACAAAAATGCGTTACGTAAAGTAAACAAGAAGTATTTAAGCAGTTAAAAGGAGAAAAAGACACAGTAAGCTTTTTTCTACGGAAAAGAAGAGAAGCTTGAATAATAGAAAACTTTTTTTTTCGTAAAAAATTTTTAACAATAAAGTTTGATTTTTTTTTTCATATTAACACAAAAATGGCTAGATTGAGTGTGTTAAAATAAAAAAATAATTGTTTTAGAAATAAAATTCAAGTTCCTTGATAAATTTTTCATAAGAATCAATAAAAAAAAATTTTTATTGATTCTTTATTTATAATATTTTATAATTTTATAAATTTTTAAAAAGATTTAAGTTTTTTTCCATTTTCGGACCTTAAGAACAGTGTCGGAATAAGGGTTTGACAAGAGGGCCTACCAACATGATCTTAACCTTTCTGTTTACTCATGATTGGCACGATTTAATAAGATTTTAAAAAACTTATATACTTTTAAAAGGACTGTTCCAAGAGCACATATATATTTTTTAAAAAACAACTTTTTAACATAAATTTTATATTACATCTACATTAAGACTATAAATATGCAAGTAAATGTTATGCTATAACAAATATCATAAGCTAAAACATTAACTATTTTAAACAAAATTATGATTTAAAGAAAATTTTTATTGTTTTGTATTTTGTAACTTAAAAAGTTTATACGATTGCTAATAACTTGTTAAGACTGCTTACGACATCATCATTTTTTTTACAAATAAACAACGAACTTGAAATAAATTGTTAAAACAAATAAGTATCGACTTTATCCGCATGATGAACGATTTTCTAAAAATAAACAAACCCTTTTAAATATAATTTAACTTCATCAAAAAAAATAAAAAAATTTCTATATTAAGTTACTTTTTCGTTTACTTGAAGTTATGCTGACATCCGATATCTCAATAGAAGCTCTTTCTTTCAATTTGTATTAGTCAGAGGTTTAATCTTTGGCGCCATTCCTTTATGAGAACTAAGATACGTACTGGAAAAACCTTGTACCAATTTTGATAAAGAATGTAATATTTTGATTAATATAAAATATAAATACACACATTAAAAATTAGTTTTGATGTGTGTATTTATATAGTTTTTATTAAAAAAATAAACAGTAATAATTAATGTAGGTAGTAATTATCCTTTAAGTCTAACATTAAGTCAACATTAGTTTTTCTTTCAGATGCTATTTCTGATTCACTGTCAAAATCCGCTAAAATAGATTTTCCTGGTTCAATTATGAATCATTTTTCCACATCACCACCTCCATATATGTTTTTAATAACACTATCGTTCAATTAGAAGGAAAGTTTGTCTATTAATCCTTTTTTAAATTTGTTTCATTACGTATGGTAATAATGCCCAAATTTATTAATCCTCAAAATTGACTTTATCAAACCAACAAGGTTTGGTTTTATTAAATCGAGAATTCTTTGAAACTGTTTTAATTATGAGTCTTTTAAATAAATGAATAATTTAAAAACTGTGTATGATGGCAAAATTTCTCCTAAATCATATCCACAAAACATTAGAGAGAAGAATTATTTTTTGGGGGTAATTTATTTCACGTGTCATAATAACTTTTTTTTAGTCCAGAGTCATCACGCAAATTGGTTTTGCCATTGTTCTAAATGTTACAAGGCGGAAATCCTTCAAGTTTAATGTTTTCAAAATGAAGTTTTAATTCTTTTTTGTTTATAGCTGCAGTGAGAAAAATTACAAGTTTTTTTTTTTTATGTTTGATGTAATTTTACGGGTTAACTGTTAACGCTTCATGACATTTGAAGTGGTGGTTCATAAAACTTGTTTCTAAATGATGAGTGATGCGCATGGCAGTTCATAATCAGTTTTATATATTTGAAAAGATCGACAGCGATTGAGGAAAACTTTTATCTTTGAAATGTGAATAATTTCTTAAGCTAATGCCTCAAACCGTTTTTTAATTGCATTTATAGATCACTCAAAAATCAATTTAAAAAAATTACTTAAAATAGATTAAACTTTTCTGATATAAATGAGATCCTTGATAATTTTTTTAATGATAATGGTGGAAATTTTTTTATTCGATCACCAATATAAATGCCTCATTTGTTTAATATCCAAAGCGATATGCTTATGTATTTTTTCTATAATTTAAGTTTACAAAAAGAAACTATATGTTTTTGTTTATTTAGACATGATTACATTACTAAGATAATAAAACTTTTTCAAAGTTTTTTATTATTCTGAAAGTCGAATTTTTAACAAAAAAAACAAGGTTTTATTTGTTAAAGAATCAAATAAAACCTTAAACTAAAGTTTAAGGTTTTATTTGTAAAACTCTGACTAGTAGTTTTTATTTTACACTCTTTTAATCGATCATGATCCGAGTTCGTTATTTTACGCGCAGTCATATAGCTGTTTTTAAATTTTCAGTTTTATATAGAATACTTGCCAAAAATTTTCTTTTCAAACACAGGAGATATTCTTAAATACACAAAAAGCGTTTTTATTCCCGGATTTTTCCGGTTGTCTTAAAAATATTTTTCTGGATTTTTTCCGGCTATTATAAGGAAAAATTTTCCGGATATTTTAAATATGACCAGGATAATCTATGGAACCATTATTCTGGTATAAAATTAATGCTCCTCCATCATAAGTGAGTATGGTTGGTGCATCAATGCACTCTTTATGCTTAAATTCATTTTATTATGGATACTACTTCTTAGTATATTAAATCTTTTTGAAGTTTGACAATCAGGATTTTTTTGAAGTTTGACGATCAGGGTTTTTTTGAAGTTTGACGATCAGGGTTTTTTTGAAGTTTGACGATCAGGGTTTTTTTGAAGTTTGACGATCAGGGTTTTTTTGAGGTTTGACGATCAGGTTTTTTTATATGGAAAAAGTATTAAATATGCAGTTTCCAATATTTGTTATATTTACGAGTCAGGAAATAGATAAACGCCCAATATTATATTTGTTATATTTACGAGTCAGGAAATAGATACACGCTCAATACATTATGCAATAGGCAGTATGTATTTAATTAAGGGATCAACGACCGGCAAATAATAAGAATACTTTAGCAAGTTAATTTGTTGCACTTGCTGATTAACACTTGTAAGGATTCGTTGTCCAATTTAATCAAACAGTTTTATCTAAAAACAAATATCATTCGCAATTGTAAATTTTTCTTTCTCACATCTTCATAAGTGTGCATTTTTTTCTAGAGATTATTTTGATAATTTTCATTTTCATCTTTTTCTTAAAAATTAGAGCTGAATCATTATCGGTGCTACTAGTCACCAGTGATGGTTAATCGTTGTCAAGCAGCCTTTCACTGAGAAGAACTTATCACAACCGTATAATTCCCATTTAAGTTCAAGTTGAGGTTAAGATCTATAACTATAAACTTCTGAAAAAACCTTTTGAAATGTAAACACCTGAGCTGTTTATTTTTGCAATCTTTTTGAGTGGTTTGAAGAGTATGATACGTTTAAACATAATTTGTAGTTAATGTGTGATCTTACACAGCCAAGTCAAAATTTAAACAAAAATCTGTGATGCTAAAAAAAAAGCAACTATTATATTTATAGCTAATTCCAGAATACAAAAAAAGAAAACAAAAACAGGAAAATATGATTAGATTTGAACTAACTTTTAAAAATACTCACTCCTGCGCTTTATTAAATTAACAATGAAAATTAATAAAAGCAGTTTTATGCAACTTCAACAAATTCTTGTCCATTTTGCTAAATTACGTTGTTACGTTATTGTTAAATTACGTTGTTACGTTATTGCTAAATTACGTTGTTACGTTATTGCAATGTTAAATTACGTTCACTAAGAGGAATAATTACACAAGAGGAAGAAAATATATATGATGTAAACTGCAATTTAGATATTTCTTTGAAATCTTTGAACAATAGATGTGCAGGTTTGCGAACATATGGTGATCTGAGAAAATGCTACGTCAGTTAAAATTAAACAACATCATGTTTTAAATAATTTTCTGTTATTAATATACTATTACCTGTTTGATAAGAAACAATTAATATATGTTTAATATATATTTTATTAGGTTTCAGCTATTAGGAGAAATAAAAAAAGGAGATGCCCATAAACACTATGAGTACAGTGAACCTTCCACTTTTAACAAACCAGATTTTATGTTAGTTATAGCTAAATGCCCTCTTCTTGAATTACATTTAATACAACGATTCGTCTATCATGTCTTTTGGAAAGGAATTTTGCCACTTTTAGGCAGAGAAAAAGCCATGCAATGGCTCTTAAAGTGGAAACTGATTTCAAAAAGTTACCATGTAAGAATTAGATAAAAAACTTAGAGACAGTTTTTACTAATTAACATCTAAATTAATTTTTGTCTAGGGTGAGGTTTTCGAAGGTAAGGCATGTCGTAATCTACTTCAACATGCAGATAAACTTTTTGAAGCTGATGTTCTTGGTAAAGTTAGCCCGTTATTGTTTTTGCCTTTAGTTACAATGCAAAAAGCAATGGACAATGTTGTCAAATTTGTTTGGGAACTGGAAAGGTTTCTCACAATTTATCTTATTACCTGCTAGTTTTTAAAACAATGTTTCTAGCAACAGATTTATCTGAAACTCTAAAAGTGCACGTAATTCTTGAACACATTGAACAATATCTTTGTGAACTAAATTCAGATTATGGACTAGAACTTGTATCTGAACAAGCCGGAGTCAATCCATTGGGAATTTTTAAAGTATTGGTCATGATATTATAATATAATCACCCATGTGTCGTATGGGAAGCGGTTGATGAAAGTTGTTGTGGAATTTAGTTCTAGGCATTTATAACACTTTTATTTTCTATTTATTTTAGTTTAATTTGTTTAAATCCGTTTTTTTAAACATTATCTATTAAAATATTAAAATAGTTTGTAACTTCTTTTGATTCTAATTCACTTAGCGATTGCTCCAATTGGATTTAAAGTATGCAAAGGCGTGGTTTTATTGCATATTCTAGATTTATAATAACTTTTAAAAATATTGCAGATAGCTGGAGTAATTTATAACTAATAAAATCTTTATAACTCGCAGTTTTTTCTATTACCATATGCCAGATGAAAAAATATGTTTTGAAATAATGACTAAATTAAAAGTTAGTTAAAAGTCATAGACGAGCAGCTAGGATTTTAATTTCAACAGATTTGTGATCAACAACATAAGCTCTAAAAGAATCTGCAAACAGTTTTCGTTGACATTTTTAATTGGTCTTGAATTTGTTGAGGGCCAGTGTGCACAAGGACGGCAATTGTTAATGATTGCTTTAATTTTTGTAATATGTTTTTGTATATTTAACTTATAAGTTCATATAGGTTTAACTAGATGTTTTCTATTTTTGATCTGAAGCTGAAGATGTTCGGGTTGCATGAAAATAAACAAACTTATTGTGTTTGTCGATCTTTGAGTATATAAACTAAATTTAAAACGAATATTTCCATTATAAAGGTGCATGTTTTTTATAAAACAAATTCACTAAAACGATCAACTCCACTGTATGAATTTTAATTGAACCTGTACTAAGTTAAACAAAACTGGAATTAAGTAAAAACAATAACTATTTCTAATAAAATCAATCACTTCCTTTATCTAAGACATTTACGGCTAAATATGTTCCATTAGTGACTATACTCACATGTTTTAGTTGCGAACCTTATATATAAAGAGAACATAATAAAATCGGAACTGAACAAGACTGAGAATCAAATTATTTACGAACACACAGATTCATACAAATAAAGACATTAAATGACAGATAAAACTTTAACGTTTAGAACAGTACAAGCACAAATTACAATAACTTACAGAACGCTGAAACAACACTCACTTAAATCTAACATAAACAATACTCACTTAACTTAAACGTAATCACTGAATAGTACTTTTTAAACACCACCTCTCAATACTAATTTATAATATTTGGACAATATCTGTCCAAATATTATAAATTATCTAGCACTTCCTTGCACTTATATAAAATATTTCTTCCTTCTCTTTACACTATTACGGCCTGATGGTTCCATATAAGTGGTGGAACTTTAATAGCTTCCGCTGCGAAACAATAGCAGAACATGTATTGTATGTTCAAATACAAAGTTTCAGCTTTATAGCATTTTATTCGTGGTTGTATTAAAATTCTACCGGACTATAAACTTATCTTATGAAAACGTATTTTAATTATAAGCGTTTTTTATTTATTTTGTAAATATTGCTACATTTACAATTCCCGACGGATAGTTAATACGATTTGCTCTTTGGAGATGTAATAATGATCGCAATACTACAATTCCCTTGGACATTATTTTAAGCGCAAAGGAAATTGTTTAAATCATTTGAATACGTATGTAGACGTTGAGCTAAACTTTTGAGTTGATCACGCAACTTTTCATTAAGTTACAAATTTTTTATTGTTAACATTTCATGTATGAAAATCTTTAATTTTTTAGTATCGACAAATAAAATCATAGTTTTGCGCGCAAAAATAAAATCAGCCAAAAGTGTTTTCTAATTTTATTTTAAAGTTAAATTTTGTTATAGCGTTTAGACTCAATTATAAATTCAATTTCAAACTTGATAAAATTCGAAACTCAAATTTGAGTTTTAAATTTTGTAAAATTTGTATCCAATTGATCAGAATTTGAAATTAAAAATCGAATTCAAATTCTTAAATTTGAATTCGAATTCGACCTTAAAACTTGGTTGAATTTTTTTAACTTATATTCAAATTTCGTCCGAGTTTACTTAAATTTATCTTTTTTTTCTCCGCACTTCAAATTTGAATCACTTTCAAAAATGTTCCTTTGGAACTTTTCCCTATCTTACTTGATTGTTTTCCTGATTCATACAACCTTTAACTCTTCAATCAACTGTTTCTTTGCTCTTTGTTTTCAAGTAACTCCCAACTTAATAGTGCTTGCTTTCAGTCTTTTTGGAAGTAAATTAGATTAATAAAAAGTTGTACTGTCTTTACTGACAAGTCTTATACACTGGCTAAAGCTGTATTTAATAATTGTAATAGTTTCATATTTTATTAACTGCTTTTAAGTTTTTTTACAATTGCCATTTCGGTTTTCGTTTTCTTTTTTTTAACGCTTCACAGGTATCCTTTAATGTTCTTTTCTTTTTTTAGCAATCTATCGATTCGATCATTAGTCAGTTTTAAATTAGCTCTTACTAACGTTAATATATCTTTTTATTGCTTAAGGAACTTTCCTTGAAATAAATTTCCGAACGATTTTGATTGAGACCTCGATGTTTGCTTTGAATTCAATTTTTTTTTTTTTATACAATAATTTAAATATAAATAAAAACTTGCAATATCAGTTTTTAACCTTTTTTTTATTATTTATTTCTTTCTTTATCAGCGAGAAAATACACGCCCGATCGCTTCCGTGTCAGGCATCCTATCCTTTTTTTATTGATAAGTATTTAACTGTGATAAAATTTATAAGAAAAACACGTATGCACTTATTTAAAAAAAAACTAAGAATTTTTTTTAAGTACGCACGTACTTCTATATTCAATGCCTCACCCCCTCCCATACGCTTTTAAACGCTATTTGTAGACCCCTTTCTTCCTATGTGCGTACGTACTTTATGGACGGCCTCTAACCATAACCTGTGTTAGCACTTAAAGCTATTTAAATAAGAATAATAAAAGTAATTCATATTATAGTTTATTTTTATAATAAACAATACAAAACTATAAAAACCCAAAATGCTGTATACGTTGAATTAAGTTTCAACGGTTGCATTATTGTTATGTCTGGATGACTTAAGTTCCTTATGTTACTACTTTAGAAGCATATTCATATGGTAATCATATTTTAGGAGAAGAGCAGCAACTACAATGATCTGAGTTAAAAATTGAAAAGCTGCGATTTGCATATAGATCAGACGCAGAGGTATTAGAGGGCTCATGCCGTAGTGGATAGGAATTATACTGCTCTTGGTGATGAAGACGTTCGTAGGAATATTGACTGGAGGCATTTAGTTGGGTCTGAAGTTTGTCAGTTGTGTAGTTGTTAAATTCAAAACCGTGTATATTATGGTGTAATTTTTCGGTATAACGCAGATGTCTAGGTGCATTTAATAAGTAAGGATAAACCTGTTCCGGTTGAAGATTTATTTCTTGATTGAAAGATTGAAGGAGAGTTTCTGCAGAAGCAATAAAATCGTTATTATAGAAGCTGATGACATCATTAATGATTGAAATAGGAATATATGGAAACATTTTTGAAAAAACTTGCATTACTCTCTTGCTGTTTTGAATATCATCTACCTTTTCATAGTACTTTTTCTGCAAACAAAAATTCTCAAGATGATTACCATCCACTCTCTTTAGTATAGAGCATTCACCCTCCCTTTGATATAGCTCATTTTTCACACTTCCCACATCATTTCGAATAAAAGAAGGAGCGTTTTTTGAATAAGCAGGTTGAGCAGGTGATACTACCGTATCTTCAGAGCTATCTTTTGGAAGAACACGTTGAAAGAACGAGCGTTTTAAATCTAAATTAGTATTTGATTCTATCTGTGAAATTCCATTGCAATAACCTAAATCAAATATTAAAAGTATTTGAGCAACTATTTAAAATTATTACCTTAAAATAAATGTTGGGTCCTATAAATTACATTATATTACGGATACATTGCAGCGCTTAAATACTTAACCGCTGCCATAACAATCCAAGTGAACTCAATATTTTAACTATATTTAGCCCTCTCCCTAATCTTTGCGAACAATATAAGCGCCTTCCCCCTGAGTCCCTTAAATGTTTAATATATTGCCTAATATATATTAATTTCATAGCCGATGTTATAGTGGCATGTTAAGACAAAATCATTAAAGTGTAAAACATTGGTAACATTTTTTAACTAACTTACTAATATAAAATTTGAAAAAAAAAAATTTTTATAAGTTTTTTGATATTATTTAAAAAATACTTTTTATAATAATGGTTGTTTGATATTATTTTAAAATATGTTTTCTACGTTCATTCGTCATCTTGCTACATACAGGGTCTTCGATAAAAACTTTTATTCTATGTATTCACACAGGTTAATACAGGTATACACACCAATACAGGCAGTGCCGGATCAAAAGGGGCTAGGGGGCTATAGCACCGGGCATCGCAAATTTAGGGGCCCCAAAAAATTTTTAATGAGTTTTTTTTCTTTTTTTCTTTTTACCTTTAGTCATTTTTAGGCTCAAGACAAGAAGTCTTAAGGTGCTACTACCATACATTTTTTATTTTTCAAAACCTGATATTCTTCTTAAAATGATAAACATTTTTCAATAGTAGTTAAAAAACTGAATATAAAAAACATCATTTTTTTAATTATTTGTTACAAAAAAATGCTGAGTCAGCAAAAAAAGAAAAAACATGTAGTCACAAGAACATAAATAACTTGAGTAATATTTGAGATAAAAGCTTTAAATTTTACAAACATATAGCTAAATGGTTGGTGGAGGGCCCTTAGTAGAATTTTTTAAAATAACGAGCCGATGTAAAATGGCAAATATTAACTTGCAAAAATCATAAAAAATGGTCCGTGGGGTATATAAAATTTTAAATTCTGGTCAAAATTAAAAATATTTTTTGATTATTCTACTATCAGCCTTTTCTACAACATCAATGAACAAACTGTGAAAATTTTAAAGAAAAAGAGCTGATAATTTCTGAGATATCAATGTTCTAGTTTTAAAATATTTTAAAAATATTATTCTGAGAAAAATAGCTTTTAAAATAAAAAATGTCATAAACTAAAAAAATCTCTAATTAAAAAACATTTAAACTGGCCACAAAAATATGATTAACCACCTTTAATATTCTGTTCTGTGTTAAAAAACCTTTTTATAATACCAATGAAAAAATTGTGAAATAGGGCAAACATATAAACAGACATAGTTGCTAAGGCCGTTACTAGGGATACGAAAATTAACTTGTTTCCTTTAAATACTAATTTAAGTACTTTATAATAATTTTTTATAGGAAAAAAAATTATAATCGTGATCCAGGATGTTTAAACTGTTAAAATTTGAAAAAAAAAAATATATATTTTTTTTAATGTTTTTAATCGGGTAGTACCACCTTAATCCGCCACTGAATACAGGTTGCATCCTCTACAGCACTTATTTGAAGAATGCTAATGGAGTTAGGTTAAATTAATGGAGATAAATTGTTGTTTTGATGTTTTTCAATTAGCTATGTCAGTTTGACAAAAACAATCTATTTAAGTATTATTTATAAGTTAGATGGGCTTTAAAATACTTCTATTAATGTTAAAAAATTAAAATAAAAAAATTATTCAACTTATCAAACATAATAAAATATATAAAAAGTGAGAGCAATGTACTTCTTCTCTGCATCATCTGCCTTCTTTTTAACGCCAATTGAGCTGCCATAAGTCGTTGTCTTTCATAAATGAGCATGCATTTCGCACATTTGCATAATCTAAAAATAAAAAACTAAAAAAACAGAGCGGTTGTCAACGTTAATACATATATAAATAGACACCTTGTATTTATAAATCCTGTTTGCAATCACTTAATATTTTGCCAATTTATGTACGCTGATTTATTAATTTTATACATAAATCAGCGTTTCAAAAGTGCGTTCTTATATAATGTGTAACCTCCACAAATTGAGGGGGTTTAAACTCATAATATTTAAGGTCATAATTTTTGAACGCTGAGAAATTATTGTATGAAAATTAAAATTTATCAATTAATATAAATTTAGTTGAGATAAGTGAAAAATTTATTTAATCAACTTGTTGCTCTAATGTTTAGGGTAGGTCTAGCTAAAACTTAAAAATTTTTTGCTTCCAGGGTCCAATCATTTTTCAAAGCGTTATATATTATATTAATAGGCGTTATATATTATATTAATAAGAAATATATTAATAAGAACCTTATTAAAAGACCTTAAAGCGTCCTTATTAATATGTTTATTGTTAATAACAATATGTTTAACATATGTCACTACTTTACATTTGACTTATGTCAAATATATTTGAAATAGGTTTAATTATATAAATGTTTTGAGCTTGCTTCACGTCTGGAAGTTAACTGACTTAAACATTAAAAAAAAAGCTGCATCCGCCCCTAGGTTTTGAGTAGCTTTGAAAAAAATAAATTAAACTGAACTATCGAACACATAAAAACAACTTTGATTAGAAACAAATTAAAATGAGGAGGCGGGGGCCACTAGAAACCACTTCTGCTTTTAAATAACAAGTTTAAGTTATAATTATTTCTGTAACTAGTTTAAACTGATGATTTGCACGAACTGCGAACTTCCGTCAGTATTTGCGTTTTTCTGTTAATTTTTTTAATTTTAATTTGTATGTTCGATCTTGAAACTTTCTTTAACATATACAATTTTATAGTAACGTTCGTAGTTCGCTATTTAGTAATTGTATTTATTGACATTATTATCGACGATTAAAACTGTAATATAAAATTTCTAAATTATTAAGATTTTTACATTTATTTTTGGATAGAAACTTTTATTTATTTGATCAAGTGTCAGAGGAAAAATACATGACAACAAAAATCAGCATTAAATAAGATATTAAAAACATAGGAACTAAATTAACGTGCTCCAATTAAAAAGCTCTTGTTTATGCAACTGCTAAATTATTATCAAGGTATGAATTTTTTTTATACAAAATATTTGGTACTAAATATGAACTCTTTTTTGCAAACCAATCTTGTTCGTAGTTAATGATGTAATATTTTACTAGTTATTATTAAAACTATAATGACTAGACCATGGCCCAAACAAAACCCTCAGTTGATGTGTGAACGTTTAATTTTGCCTTTTCTAAATCTTTGTAGGCATTCGATTTTTTGCCTATTCTAAATCATTGTAGGCATTCGAATTCTAAAACATTACTTTGTAAGCATTCGAATGTTTATTTTTGTGTTTTTAAAAATGTTTGCGTTTTAATAATAACAACAATATCAACAAACAATTTATTTACTATTTATGATTATTTTTATTACAGTAATAAAAATAATAATAATAATAAATTAAAATAAGAATTATAAAAATATAATAAGATTATAAAATTTATAAAAAGTAATTCAAATTATAATTATAATTAAGGCCGGCAACAGGGTGGGAGGGGGGAGCGAAAGGAACATATGTACCGGACGACAGATATCCAAGTGACGCCAAATGAAGAGAAGGTACTTAAAAAAAGTCCTTTATCTGTAATATAAGGAAGTTTTGATAAGTAAGGGCGCCAATCAAGCTTGCTGTCCCAGGCGGCGTGACGACTCTCAGCAGCCCTGATTATAATAATAATAAAATACAAAATAACTGCGAATAAATAAAAATTTAAATGATAATAATAAATATAATAATATAAGTATAAAAATATTTATACCAAACAAGATATTGATTTATAAAAATGATGTCACTCATACAGAAGCCTGATGACATCAATTTTTAAATATAATATTAATTATAATAAGTATATAGACATAAAACATACTTTAAAAAATAAACATGTAAAAATTATAGTTTGCAAATAATAATAATTAAAGATTGAAAAATATACAAAAAAAAAATATTGATAACAATTATGTTAATAACAACAACAAAAAATCAAGGGTATATTTTAGTAATAAGAAATAATAATATCAAAAAGTTTGAATAAAATAATTTTCAGAATTTTCTTTAATTGATTCTGTCTTATATAAAGAAAATATGATAAAAGTATTTAAAGTCTGTAGTTTTTTGAACGCATTTTCGGTAGTCCGAACCTACCGGAGTCTCTGCTTTAGTTTTGCATTTGGAAAAGAATTTTTGTAATTCTTAATTTGTATTACAAAAATTTGTATTATAAAGTTGCGGATTATCCGCGAGCAGAAGTTATTGCAAAACACTTTTAGAATACTTAAAAAAGAAACCCATCCACTTATAAAAGCGTTTTTAGAATAGATTTTAGAAAAAGAGTATATAAGTTTTAAAAGCAGTAACGTTAGTTTTTAATTACTATTAATTAAATTGTTACCAAGTAACAATTAATATTGCAAAAATGAGTTTATTTATTTATTTTAAAAAACATATGAAGTTAAATGTTAAATGCAATAACATTTTTTTTTTAATGTTTAAAAATAATTAATTATATATAAAAATTATGAAGCTAAATCAATTATTTAAGGCATTGCGGAAAAAAAATTGTTGTTAATTTTTTTCACTTTTATAGGGAAACATTTTACTAATTATGCTGAATATAAAATATTTTCAATAAAAGTATCGCATGGGAATCCTGTATTAAATGCGCAAAGAAATGCTTTTGTTCAAGTCGTATAAAAAAAATTGTTGTTAATTTTCTTCACTTTTATTGGGAAACATTTTATTAATTATGCTGAATATAAAATATTTTCAATAAAAGTATCGCATGGGAATCCTGTATTAAATGCGCAAAGAAATGCTTTTGTTCAAGTCGTATAAAAAAACTTACGGTGTAAAGTATATTTCGACTACAAAACAATATACCTGTGACAAGCGTAGTTTTTATATTTGCGAATTGATAAATTATTAATTATATTATCTAAACAACTCATTAGACTTACTTCCATAAACAACTTTTTTTGTGACCTTTTAGGAGTACATTTTGACCATGATTTCGACAACGAGAACATTTTGGTGGCTCTTTTGCTTTTTTTAGATTTTCTGAAGATGTTATTAATATTTCTTTGCTTTTTTTAAATTTGTTTAAAGCCATTAGTAATTCGTTGTTTCCACTGTAAAATTTATACTTTTTATACACTTAAGTTAAAGTTAGTCTTTTTTCGAATGTTGTTAGAAATTCTGCTCCTGGAATGGAATGATTAAGTTTCCACGTGCTGAACAAAAGAATTACGGGCTCGAGTAAAGAAGACTTTCTACTAAACTTTGTGCTCATTAAACCGTTTAGATTATTGTTTTTGTAAAAAAAAAAAAAAAAAACAGATTTAGTTTAAATTAAAAGTTCCACTTATTTAACTAAATCGGGGTTTGTTTGTTTTTTTTTAATTTAAACTAAGAAATATTTATAATTTGAAATACTTTTAAACTATATAAAGATTTATAGTTTAGTTAGAACTGTATAAATTATTACCACTATATATTAAAAAAATAAAAAACATTAAACTATATTTTATATTTTTGATACAATTTAATAAATGTTGATCGTGATTTGTATACTTACACATTCGTATACCTATATTAAATGAATGTAATGAAAACCACGCATTTGCGCGTTCTAATATGTGAGAATATAAAAATGTTTTGTAAAAATGTATCGCTGATAAAAAGAAAAGTCCTGAGTTTTTGTTACAAATTGAAAGAAGTTTAAAATTTACAGCAATTAACAATCTCCTAAAATAAGAGGGTTGTTAAATCGACAGTTCTAATATCAGAGTAACTTTCTACTGTAAGGACAATTTTTTAGAGAAACGGAAGCTATTACCGGCTACCTGCAAAAATTTTCGAAATCCATTGGTGTCCACAACCAGGTGTTTTTTTTAAGATAAAACGTTTTGAAGACCAACGCCAATACAGAGATGGAAGCTTGACCGGCCTAATGGCCGCCTTCAGAAGAAATTTTGGAATCAAAATGATTTGGAGGCCGCCTCTATTGGCTTCTGCCTTCCAGCTGGTTGCGACCACAATTGGAGTTGAATTTTCGGCTCCCAGTAGTAGAAATTATAAAAAGCATTCTCGAGTTTGTTTTTAAGTTAATAAGCAATTTGAATATTAACTAGGAGCATATATAGCATATATATTCATGATAAAAAAATGCAAAAAATGATTTTTTTTTAATTATTATTGTTTTTATTAGAAAAACTATCATTCAGAAGAAAGTGATTTTATTTATTGTTTACATTAAAAACCTGTTTAATATAACAAATTTGTCATTTTTTGTTCATAGCAACTTGCATAGCAACCACTTTGAACAAGTGAGCCTAACTATTTTTATTTATTATTTAATAACGTTATATCCTCATTTTTAATAATCAGATATTGTAAAAGTTATTGAAAAAGTATCTTTTAATATTCATTAAAAATTGGAATTACTATTTAACAAAATACAACTGGTCGCACCACGATGTATTTTGTTAAATGGCGAGGGGGTTGGGGTCTATTATGTTTGGGCTCCTCTCTAGCTCGGGGCCCCTAAAAAAGGTACCTAAAAAAAAATAAAATAAAAAGTCTTATAAAAAATTATAATATATATGGCGGCCCTGCATCTATGTCTCCCCGGGCCCCTAAATCTCAGTCCGACTTTGGAGGTCAGGGAGTTATATACATGTTTAAAATATTCGCATATTGTAGCAGAAAGAGGACAATAGGCAAAGATGCAAAGATTGCCGCAATATTTACACTTGTCGTCTTTAATGACCTGTTGTTTTGCGCTTTTGGCGAGAAAAGCTGCAGAAGGTAAGCTGTTGTGAAGAAACCGAAAGAGAATATTTTGGTTTGGTCCGTTTAGGTAGGAGTTACAGTTTTCCAAATTTGGGTCTACGGTATTGTTGTTTTTGTTAAGCTGTTTCACAAAAGTGATCGACTTAAGCATCTAACAATCATTTATCACGCATAGGGTAAACGGTCCAGTGGTCGCCACCCCCTTCTAGTGGTCGCCGATTTGTGCTTAAAAAACTTCTAGCGCAAAATTTAATAAACGAAAAGTACTGAACTTATGCTCAAAATAAAAACATTTTAACTTCATAAGTGATGAAAAAACTATAGTCGTAACTATTAAATTTTGCGCTAGAAGTTTTTTTTAGCACAAATCGGCGACCACTAGGAGGAGGTGGCAACCACTGGACTGTTAACCCTAAATAAATATTTTAATTTTTTTTCCTAAAACATACAAACAATTATATAGGTAAAAATTAATTATATTGTAAAAATGAAAAATAAAAACTAGTATTCGATATTTTGATTTGAATTAAGACATTAGCTTTGACCGAACTTTCAATGCCATCGCATAAGTTTGGTTGCTATATAAATCCTAATAAAGCATTAAAAACGTCACGAATAACAAAAATTATTTTTTAAATGTTATCTTATTGTAAAACGATGATATAATATCAGTTAACAGGAGTAGCCAAGGAGGGCGTGACCTTGGGTTCAAATAAAAAGGTTTTGGAGGGCGCCAAAGAAATTATCTAGGAGCACATAAAATGAAAAAGTCCTTTTTAAGCATTATTTTTAACATCCTTTTTAAGCATTTTTTAAAATTATATTTAGTTAATTACTTTACTACTTTATAATTTACGCTGCCCCACTGATTAATTAAATTAAAAAAATATTTTTTAAAAAGGTTTTATCAATGAACAAAAAAATACTGCTTTTCTTTAAATAAACTTTGTATGTTTTTTGGCAATTTTTGCACATATCGTTGACCAAAGTAATATAGCAACATCCACATAACCAATTGTCACAGATTCGCAAAGTATCAATTATTGTTGTTGAGCTGTAATTTTATCTCCAAAAAAATCTCAAACATGATACTTTTTAGAATTTAAAGAACCGTCAGACTGACAGCCTATGAATATTATAGTTTTGAATTGACAGTCTATATATATGGAAGTCGCTTTGTATTCTGAGTTAGTCGGAATTTTGGTTTACCTCCACTAGCTGTCGCTTCCGTTAGTTAATAGTAAGTTTGTTAAACTAATTAGCTTTCTTTGCTAAACGTTTTTGAGTCGTAATTGAATTTAGCTTCCTGTTTTGTTTTTCACGCAAAAACTTTCTAGCTAGTATTTCGTTCTTGTAGCTTTATTTCGTTCTTCTCATTTTTTGCCATTATTTGCTTGTCTGTAAATTCTATTAAAGCTTCTTCAGAAGTCATAATGTAACTTTACATAAAACGCTTGTTGTCAACGCATATTTTGTAATAAGTGATATAAGTTTACAAGTAAATTTTAAAGCAAAAATTTACCTGTAAATTGACCGGTAAAATTATTTTAAAACAGGTTAATTTTGAAATTATAAACAAATTCTTTATGTAAACAAAATACCATCGGTGAGTATCCATTAAAAGAATGTCAAAATTTACTGGTAAATTTACACGAAAAGCTACCGGTAAATTTTACATTCGCAATACTAGTTCAAGTTCGCAGTCACATTTTTTACTAAGGCATTATTCATGAATTACGCAACGCAAAACTTGTTTTAAAAATATAAGTAGGAGAACATTTTGCTCTTTCGAGCGGCGGCAATCGCTGGACTTGAAGGGTTATTTATACATGGTTTAATTAAAGACTCTGCGAGGGAAAATATTCAACACTTTTCCTTTTGTCTATTAGTTAAATTTCGCGATATAATTTTTTTTTTTAATTATTTGATAAACTGCCTGCACAAACCAAACCCTCAGTCGATTTAGCAGCACTCCGTTGCGAGTCAAGCTATAAGATAGTCGATGTAGCAGCACTCCGTTGGAGAGTTTTTATTATTATTATTTTTATCATAACAATAATGGACTTTAAAATTTGTTTTGGTTCGCAAAAAAGTGCGCATTTTACCGGTTCGCAGTTCGCGGTTTGCAGTTCGCATTTTACCTACAACCTTTAAAAATATCACTAATTTTCAAAAAAGAGTAGTTAATATTTGAAAACTATTAATTTTTTTTTTGTAAATATAATTAATTTGGTGATTCCTAATAATACTACGGTTAAATTAAATCATTTATTTTAAAAATTTGCTTATTTTAGATTTTAAAAGAATGCTTTATTTCAAACTGTTGTTTGCTAAAGAATTATTTCAGCAGATTGTATATAGGAATAATATTTTTTATAGAATTATATTAACAAGTTAACAATCAAATTTTGTTTTTCTTGAAAACAATTTTTGCGCGTTTTTTTCGGACCATTCGTAAGAAACTAAAATTTTAAAGACCAGAATTTTTTACGGAATTTTCGATTCGCGATCACTTAGTTCGCCCTTTGTATATATATAGGGTGTTAAACAGGAATAAATTTTATACAGCGTTTTGACAAATTGGAAATTTGTTACAAAAATTTCCTAATTCTACCCCCGCCTCCCCCTCCCTGGTATTGAAAAGGTGTTCCAGAAATGCGTGGCAGTGCCTGATCAAGGGAGCTAAAGGGGCTATAGCCCCAGGTCCCGCAAATTTAGAGGCTCCCAAAAATTTTTGAGGACCTTTTTTTTTCTTTCTTTTTTTAGTTATTTTTAGGCTCTGGCCCATAAAAGGCCTCCAAAAACAAAAATAGCCCCAGGCCCCTAGAAGTCTTAATCCGCCATTGATACGTAGGATTCTTCTCTTATACTTTTCTTCTTCTACTCCACTGCAGCGCTGCATACATTGATTGGACAGCGCCAAAAATAAAATAAAATACTCTCTGTTATATATATTGAAGATAAATATGAAATTAACACAAAATGAGACATGGTTTCACAACGACACGGCAAATTAAGTTCTCTTTTCCAAAGATTATTAATATATATTAAGAATTATTTATATATATATTAAGAATTATTTTTATATTATAAAATGATCAGTATTATTAATTATTATTAGGAGTAATATTTTTGATTTATTTTTAGTTCTAATATATCATTGTCCCTTTCATTTTCATAGAAATCTTTTAAATGTATATTTCTTTTTCAATGGTGAGCATTAAATAATGATTTTTAAAGTAATAAAGCAATTTATGTTCACTGAAAATATCCGCGGAAGAGAGCGAATGATCTTTCTGCTTGACGTTTTTTATGGACGAACCTTTACACCATCATTTAATAAGTTGTCCTCAAAAAAATGTTTTAAAATAGAAAAGATTTGAAAATATATACACGAGCTCATAAATTTTATATTTCACATTTATTTCGAGTTCATTTTTATAATAATTATTAA